GTTTTAAGCAAAACATTATTTGGTTGAAGATTAAGTCCAATGGTGGGCTTAAAATTGGATGTAGAAGAAAACACTGTAAAGTTTTTTAGATTATGTGAGAATTCTCTGCACTTCTTCCTATACTTAAGATTAAAAACACACACACACACACACACACACACACACACATTTTAGAATATTAAAAAAAAAATGGTTAGAAACTCAGTATTCTAAGCAGGTTACAAGTCTGAGTCAAAATAACACATCTGTCTGCCCTGTTTATAGAGTGTCTCTGGCTTTAAAATTCATGATATGATTAAATTTTTGCTGAGTTTTATCTGCAATATGCATAGAACTTGCATTGTGCTCCCCTCCCCCATTTAACTTTGCATTCTCAATAAGATTTGGGGGATTAGGGCCAGAACAGCAATGCTTACTGGGTATTTGTAAAGGAAGAAGAAAGTAACTCTGTAACTTGGGTCTGTTTCAACTACATACTTTCCTTTCTCTGTCTTTTATCTTCTCTCCTACCCTGGTTCCAATCATTAGAGTTACAAAGTAGCCTGGTGTCCAGAAAGCTTTTAAAAATTCAAGCTCTTCACTTTACTCTCTATTTTATTATTATTATTATTATTTTATCCTCACTGGAGGATATTTTTGCATTTATCTTCAGACAGAGCGGGAGGGAGAGAGGGAGGAAGAGGAAGAAACATCGATGTGAGAGAGACACATCGACTGGCCGTTACCCACACAATCCTAACCTGGGCCGGGGAAAAACTGCAACAGAGGTACCTGCCCTTAGCAGGGACTGAGGGCCAACGCTCTAACCATTGAGCCAAACGGGCCAGGGCTCTCTTTTGTTTTTTAATCCACACTCAAAGAAATTTTCCCACTGATTCTTAGATAGAGTGGGAGGGGGGGAATGACAAGGAAGAGAAAGAGAGAGAGAGATTGATTGCCTCTGGCACCACTCTGATGGGGGGCGGGGGGTGGAATCAAACCTACACCAAGGTACATGTCCTAATGGGACTTGAACCTGAGACTCTTTGAAATTTAATTTCCAGTTACATTTAGCAGTAACGAAAGCTGTGAGAGTTTAGTTCAAACTAAACTTAGTTTTAGTTCAAACTAAGATTATGTGAAAAATAAAAACAACCAAAAGAACAGGTCATCCCCCCACCAAGTTCATTTCCACTTAAAAAAATATCAGCTGAGGTTCATTTTTTTGCAAAGGGAAAGAAACATGGTCGTTTGCTTCCTGTTTAAGATTTTACCTACAGAAGGACTACAGACCTAGTAGGTGCTATTAACAATTTACAACATAGTTCAGAAAACCACATTAATCTTAAATGTGGAAGAAAATGGCACTTTAGCCCTGGCCGGTTTGGCTCAGCGGTTAGAGCGTTGGCCTGTGGTCCTGAGAGACCCGGGTTCGGTTCCCGCTAAGGGTGCGTACCTCGGTTGCAGTTTGTCCCCGGCCCTGGTCGGTTGTGCGGGTGGCAGCCACTCGATGTGTCCCTTTCACATTGATGTTTCTCTCTCTTTCTCTGTTCCTCCCCCACCCCCACACACACACTCTACCTGAACAAAAAATGGAAAAATGTCCTCGGGTGAGGATAAAAAAAAATAAATAAAAAAAAAAGAAAGAAAATGGCACTTTAGCCCTGGCCGGTTTGGCTCAGCGCTTAGAGCGTCAGCCTGTGGTCCAGGGAGACCTGGATTCGGTTCCCATGTACCTCAGTTGCGGTTTGTCCCTGGCCCTGGTTGAGTCGTGTGCGTGGCAGCCACTCAATGTGTCCCTTTCACATCGCTATTTCTCTCTCTCTCTCTCTCTCTCTCTTCCTCTCTCTCCTTCCCACTCTATCTGAATAGAAAAAAACAAACAAAAAAAAAAACCAAAAAACAAAAAAAATGTCCTTGGGTGAGGATAAAAAAAAAAAGAAGAAGAAAATGGCACTTTATGTTTAAATAGATATATTACATCTACTAAAAAGACATTACATCAAATGGACATGGCATACCAAAGAAAAGACTACAAATCGAAAAAATAAATTTTGAAATAGTTATAAAGAGGATACCACAGTTTCTCACTTGAAAATGATGTAAATATATCTCTTATTTAGACCAAAAAGACCAGAAAGTACAATATGACAGAATAGAGACCTTTTGCTTTTTCCAGTTAACAGGTCAGAGTTGGAATCCCAGCTCTGCTACTTTCTAGCTGTGTGGGGGCAAATCAGAGCAGCTACTATAGCTATAAATACCATGCACTCAAATATATGTTGAATGAGTGAATGGATGACTAAGCAAATGATTTAAACCTCTCTACATCTTGGTTTCTGTATTTCTAAAAGAGAGAAAACTGGACCGCTCCCAAAAGGCTGGGCTGTGATGATTAAATACATGTAAAGCAGTTAGTACAAGGCCTAACACAGACTAAGCACACAATAAATATTAGTTATTGTCATCATACCAAGCAAACAGCCCACAATTATATCCAAACTGCTGAAATATGGATTGCAAAAAACGATTTACTGTTAACCTAGATTATCATCCATTAAGGAGGAAAAAGGGAATGAATAACATTTAAACTTTACGAGTTTTTTGGTCTAGTTTTTGTGTCTAGAGTTCAAGGAAGAACTAGGGAATACTGAAACTGTCAAAACGGCTGCGGGAAGTTCAGAGAGGAACAACAGGAAAGAAAAGAATGAATCATGAGGTTTTGATAATTCATAAGCAATCAGTAAACAAGAGATGGTTACTGTAAGTAGCACTCACTCCTCAGAGAGTGAAAATTGTCAGGCACTACAAAGGTGAGGGGCTATCCTTGGCCCAGAGCAGCTCAATCAAATTTGCTTCCATAGGTGTATTTGCTGTTCGGTGTTTTTAAATTTTTTTTTTCTTTTTATTGATTTGAGAGGGAGAGAGAGATAGTAACATCAATGAGAGAGAACATTGATCGACTGCCTCCTGCATGCCCCCCACTGGGGATTTGGCCCACAACCTGGGCATGTGCCCTGGCCAGGAATCAAACTGGCAGCCTCTTGGTGCATGGGTCGATGCTCAACCACTGAGCCACACCGGCCAGGTTCATTGTTTATTTTTTAACTGGTGATGAGAAGTATGGGGATGGAGTATTTGTTCCTCTGTGTTAAAAATCCTGGAATAGACCCTCTTCAGATACTTCACACTACCCTGGCATAAAAAAATGAGGGACTAAATCCTTGGCTTACTGCTTTTTAATCAGTCACTGCTATATCTCATTTAGAGAGGTAGCAGTGCAAGATAAACCTTAGGGAAGCAAACACCTACTCTCTGAGCCTTAGATAAAATACATTGAATTTAGCCCCTTAAGCTACCAATCACCATTTCACTTCCTTTCGTCTTAGAGAGGAGAAGAGGTTTTGATAACTAGACAAAAACAGCACCTGTAGTCTATAGGTGAAAATAGTTTTCCTGTCTCCATGCAATTTTCATCGATAGTAACACATTCAACAAAAACTCCACTTGCTAAGGCTATACCTTAAAGACACAGAATAAACTGAATACTGTTTATTTAATTGGCTCACCTGTGAATTATCTAATTTTACTCCATTCTTCTTTCTTTTTTTTCCAACTTTTATTAATTTATTTTTGTTACAGATGTTTCTCCTTTCCCACCTAGAGATAGCCTCTTCCTCATCTCGCACCCCCCCCCCCACCTTTCTCCTTTCTTAAATCCAATTTCAACCTGTTTTCCTCCATTCTCTCTCTCTCTTTTTTTTATCCTCACCCGAGGACATTTTTCCATTTTTTTGTTCAGACAGAGTGGGAGGGAGAGAGAGAGAAACATCGACATGAAAGGGACACATCGAGTGGTAGCCACCCGCACAACCCAACCAGGCCGGGGACAAACTGCAACCGAGATACGTGCCCTTAGCGGGAGCCGAACCCGAGTCTCTCCAGACCGCATGCTCTAACCGCTGAGCCAAACCGGCCAGGGCCTCCATTCTCTTTTTTGCCTTTATTTTTCAAAGACAGGGATCCCTGGATCTGGCACCTAATCCTAAAGTGAGTACTTAATCCTCACTTCACAAGTCGTTTATGTACAGATAGTATTTTTATTTCTTTAAATTTTTTTTTTAATCCTCACCAGAGGACATCTTTCCATTTTTCGTTCAGATAGAGTGTGGGGGGTGGGGGGTAGAGAGAGAGAAACATCAATGTGAAAGGGACACATCGAGTGGTTGCCACCCACACGACCCAACCAGGGCCGGGGACAAACTGCAACGGAGGTACATGCCCTTAGCGGGAACCGAACCGGGTCTCTCTGGACCGTAGGCCGACGCTCTAACCGCTGAGCCAAATTGGCCAGGGCAAAAAAATTTTTTTTTCTATGTTGATTTTTAGAGAAAGAGGGAGAGAGAGAGAGAAATAAAAAAAAACACCAATGAGGGAGACCACTGATTGGCCTCCTTCTGCATGCCCCTCACTGGGGATTGGGCCCACAACCTGGGCATGTGCCCTGATTGGGAATCGAACTGGCGACCTCTTGGTACACGGGTCAATGCTGAACCACTGAACCACACCAGCTGGGCTATTTTTATTTCCATAATAAGATTTGATGCCAGAATTATGTTTCTAGGCTACCTTCTTAACCATTTTTTGGATCAAGGAATGTAAAATAATTTTAATGTAAACTGAAACAATGTGGGACTACAAATGTAAATCTTTGGGGTAAGAGAAACAGCCCATTTGAAAATGAAAAATGCTTTCAACTGTGATATTTTGGAATTCCTTTTGTTCTCTTTAATCACAATAAGCCTTATGAAACTATTTCAAAGGCCTCTAGAAAATTCAGCAGATGTGGGGCACAGGATTGGTGGAACAGCATCAAAGAAGATTTAAAGTTTGTTAACATAATAATTGAGTGACAAGGTCATGGTATGGGAACAGACTGTAATTCTTGTTTTGCTTATTTGCTGCCTTCAAAAGGGCAGTGATTTCTAGGCTGCTCATGAAACCAGGATCACAGGACCTACCTCCTCACAAACTGTAGAGAAGCGGTTGAGGAACTGTACAGTGTGCACCACAAACTGGTTTAGAAATGCCACGGTTCTTTTCTGTTGAATAGCTGGCACCTGTGTTATGTACAAAAAAAAAAAAATTCATGATTCGTACAGCAGGAACGTACACTGTGCAACCCCTCTGACGCTAATAACAGCGGTGTGTGAAACCAGCCCCTTGAAGTCCTCTGAAGAGCCCTTGTTTTCCTAAACCGTGGGGGTGGGGTGTCCGAGGAAGGCAGAGGCTACAGAAAAGTTTGACTGGGCTCTGGAGTCACAAGTACGAACTTGCTGGTAAAGACAACACACGTTAACACACAAAAAACGCGGGGGCCGAGAAAAGTCGTAGGGTTGGAGGTCGCAACCGGCCCGTGTCGCCTGTGAGTCACCCTAGATCAGGCAGACTCGTGACACAGGAAGCGAAGGCTGGGAGAGGCACACTAACCCCTTACACAGCTCGGGAGGGACCCCCTTTGAAGGGGCACTGTGGGGCTCTCCCACCCGAGGCCGGCAAAAAGGAAGCCCGGGGTCAAGAACGGGGTGAGGCACGGGGAGATCGGGTCTCCCTGCAATCGGGCGTCCCTTCACCATCCTCCTCCCAGGTCACCGGAAGTCCAAGTCCTTCTACAAACCTTGGTCAGGTCTATGCCTGACCCCATGAGAGGAAGCCCATCCTCATCCATGTCCTCCGCGGGCGGGGGGACCCAGGGATCACCCACAAACCCTCCCCGACGTGGCCTGTCCAACCCCGTGACAGTGCTTGCACACTCCCAAGTCCCCGCCTCCCGAACCCTTCCCGCCGGAAGGAAGCGCCTTCGCTGGCCAATCACTCAGCGGTTTTCGGAGAGCCCGCCCCTCCCCCGCATGTCATTCTGGGATTGGTAGTTCGGGGTCCAGATTGTAACGTCAGATCAGGGGGCGCGAGGTGGAGCGAGGCTGTGGTTCTAGCAGGAAAATCTTAAAAACGTGGCAAAACGTGAAAGTAAAAAATTGCGTCCGATTGAGGTTATCTTTGCTTAGTCTTGTCTGTTATATAAGTAGCTGATTCGTTAATCAAATAGGTCATTCGTTAATCAAATATATGTTATATATATATATATATATATATATATATATATATATATATATCCCCCCGCCCCCAAAACACTACTAAACACCAGTTAGATACTCTGCTAGGCCCAGTGGGGAATACAAAGATTGGAGCACATTAAGCCTTCTGGGCTTTATGCCCTGAAGGACACTGAAGGAAAAAAAAATTTTTCCCCCCAAAAGACTTTACAACATGAAATAAAATGTCCAATGCTCCTGAGGAGGCAGAAACCGGTGGAAATGATATCCACTTAGATCATGAAAAAAGGCGCAACATACGCCTGGAAAGAACTTTGCACCTGGGATTTGAAGATCCAGGTTCGGATTTTGACTGTGCAGTTGACCAGCTATGTGACCTAGGACAAGTCACCAAACCAAAAGTTGAACCCCTTCTGCTAGGTACCAAGCAAGATGCTCAGTACTGAAAAGATGAAGAAGAAAATAGTTTCTGCCTTCAAGAAGCTTAAAGTCTAGGGCAGACATGTAGAGTCTAGAAGTACCCCATCTAGGCAGACATGCAAACAGTTTTGAGAATGTTGTGCGCATGCGTACAAATGAGAGCGCTCACTCACACACGTGTGAAGTGCATTTGTACCGTACCTAAAAGTCCCCTAAATCCGATGAGAAAACCAGGCAAGGTAGCTTTTTTAGCAGGTATTTGAGCAGAATTAGCCAGGCAGACAATTGTGGTGGACCTTTGTACCAAGACACAGAGGTTTGGGGGAGTACGGTAGGTGGGAGAAATAGATAACTGTTAGGTTCTGCTGAAGCAAAAAAAAAAAAAAAAAAAAAAAATCCCAGAAATGGAGAATGGTAGCAAAGGAGGCGGGAGAAGTAGACAGATTAGCTCATTAAGGCTCTTTTATGACAGATTTGATAACTATAGTCTATATTTCTCTAAAGCGAGAATTATTTCGGACTGGGCGGTGCTACTTACAATGCACATTCCAGGAATTAAGTTTATTTATTTATTTATTTTTCTTTATTGATTTTAGAGAAAGAGGAAGAGAGAGATAGAAACATCGATGAGAGAGAACATCGATTGGCCACCTCCTGCATGCTCCCCACTGGGGATCGGGCCCACAACCTGGGCATGTGCCCTGACCAGGAATTGAACTGGTGACCTCTTGGTGCATGGGTCGACGCTCAACCACTGAGCCATACCAGCTGGGCCCAGGAATTAAGTTTAAATAAACAAGTAGGACTTCTGGGAGTGAGTCTAAAAATCAATATTTTAACCTACTTCCCTTTCCATCCCCAATTATTCTGAACCAAAAGGTAGAAAGTTACTTCTATAGGTGATGGGAGCCATTAAAAAAAATTCTTAGCAGCCCTGGCCAGTTTGGCTCAGCGTTTGGAGCATTGGCCTGTGGTTCGGAGAGGCCAAGGTTCGGTTCCCGCTGGGGGCATGTGCCTTGGTTGCGGTTTGTCCCCGGTTGGGTCGTGCGGATGGCAGCCGCTTGGTGTGTCCCTTTCGCGTAGAAGTTTCTCTCTCTCTCTCCCACTCTCTCCCTCCCACTCTATCTGAACAAGGGATGGAGGGGTGTCCTCGTGTGAGGATAAAAAAAAAAAAATTCTGAGCAGAAGAGCAACATGATTCACATTTGTAAAAAGGCTACACAATGCCTGGTACATAGATGTGTAATAAGTGTTGGAAACAGCAAAGCCGAGAGTATTATTTGTATACACAGAGATGGGATGCAGAAGTGAGGAAGGATAGGATATTTAAATACATATTTTTCATGTGTATAATTATATTATATAATTATGTCTATATAATCTCTTCCTATATATAATTGAACATTTCACTGTATTTTTTCCACATCTATTGAGCACTTTCTATGTTCTAAATACTGTACTAGTGCCATAACTATAAAAAAGATAAACATTGTGACAGGTCGAGGCAAAAGTAGTTTATGTTTTGTTTTTTCACCTGGACAAAGCCCATATGAGGAGGAATTTTCCCATTAGGCTATAAATTCCTTGGGACAGGGATTCTTTTCTTTTCTTATGAGTCCTCAGTTAGTACCAGCCACTCTGCCTTTCAATGAATAATCATTAATAACTTTAATACACAGTTCTGAGGGCTTATTATGATCTAAGATGGTGCCAGGCATTGAAGAACCATCCATCCATAGACATTCCCTACTATGTGTCAAGCACTATTTATGAATCTGGGATATAGCAGCAAACAGAAGATGCAAAAATTCTGCTTTTATGAAGGTAAACAGATAATACATAAGTAAGCGAACAGATATTAAGTTGCTCACGGGTAGGGAGACAGAAAAATGAAAAGAGATTAGCAGCTAGGAAATAAAGAGATAAAGCCTAAGCTAAAGTATGCCCCAAATAGGATCACCTAGCTCAGATTGATGAAATTAGGGGTCTCTTCTTGGAGGAGCTGACATCTTAGCTGGACTTGGAAGACAAAACTGATTTATTGTAATTGAGATCCTTATAGACTCAAGTCTGTCCTACCAGCTTATACTGTTGGCAGTCTCATTTGTTTTTTTCTGTAGTCTCCCAGAGTGCCATAGGCTTGCTTTTCTACCTACTGATACCCAGACCAGACCCTCCTCCTTGAGTAGCCGTCTGCTCACCTATGTCCCTCTGGATGTAGACATGGCCGTAGAATTTAGTTCATTAAGGGCTTCTTGCATCCATTGCTTTCCAACAAACCCACGGAAGAGTGTGATTACTTTATCTGGTTATTTCTTGTTATTAGTGCAGGTGTGAGCGGCTTTCTTGAATCTTTCTACATTCTAATCAGTAGCAGAAATCTTTTCAGCCCATCCTTAGAGAAGCTTTCTCTGGTTCACCAACACTAGATTAACTGTCCCTCCAAATACATGCTCCCATGCCATTCTGTTTCACTTTGTCTCAGCACAGTTATACTTGCCTGTTTGTCTGAGTACCTACTAGACTACTGAGTTAGGGCAGAGATCCTGACTTGTTCACTATTAAGGCCCTAGTCCAATGTCTGACCTGTAGTAAACCCTCAATAAGTATTTGTTGAATGACATTGGGGTCTAATTACACTCGTGCTTCCACATCTTACTTGATCTTCAGTGAACCCTTGATTTAGGTGGGACTCACTGTTCTGGATAAACTCGTCAGCTTCCCTGAGCACAATCCCCAACTAGCCAGCCTAGGGCCTCACCTTGCTCCCCGGAGCCAGAAGAGGTTCCCAGCCAGAGAACCCAATCAAAGCAAACCAGACAGTCATTTCATGGTTATGAATGCTATACTATAGAAACATGAACTTGCTCTCAGTTGGCTAATTGACAAAGAAATTTTTTCAAAGCCGCTTGGTTTTCTCTTTTTAAAGGCAAATATAATGCTAGGAGATGTGATCTGTAGTTAACAGGAAGGAGTGGCAGTTTTTCTTTGCCTCCTGGGATCCTCGATCATCAATCACCCATAGCTTCTGACAGCAGTGCCATTCACAATCTAATAACTGAATTTCCAGGACTGTTAAAAACAGTCTATAGCTGTAAGTCTTGACCAACTGCCAGAAATATCTGAAATAAAATATGTACCCCTTCCTCCAGGCTTCCTCGCCTTGGAAATGTGTTAGCAGATTTCATTTACTATACTGAATTTTGGAGACAAAATTTCTTTTCTTTTTTTATCCTCACCTGAGGACATTTTTCCATTTTCTGTTCAGATAGAGTGGGGAGGGAGAGAGAGAAACATCGACGTGAAAGAGACACATCGAGTGGTTGCATTTTTCCATCTTCTGTTCAGATAGAGTGGGGAGGGAGAGAGAGAGAGAGAAACATCAACGTGAAAGAGACACATTGAGTGGTTGCCACCCGTATGACCCAACCAGGGCTGGGGACAAACAAACTACAAACGAGGTAGGTGCCCTTAGTGGGAACTGAACCCGGGTCTCTCTGGACCGCAGGCTGACGCCCTACCGCTGAGCCAAACCGGCTAGGGCTGGATAGAGTTTTCAAAGGGCCGGGACTATGTAAGCCATTTGCATGTATCTGTTAAAAAAAAATTCTGAACAATTTTTTGATGGTTATCTTGGTTTTCATAGCAGATTACTAGAAACATCACGGTTATTTATTTTTTCTCATGGATTAAGTTCTTAGGTGGGGTAAATGAGAACTGGGTTCCTATTTTTCTTTTGTGTTTCTTCCTGCTCCGCTTCAGGGTGGAACAGTTAGAAGGTATGGTGTTGGTTCATAATAGTGGGAAAATAAAGTTAAATGCTCCCCCTACCCTGCCCCCACTCTAGCCCTCAGGAGTGATATGAGTCTTCTATTGGGAGTGAGTTAAATGAAGGAATCCTAGCCTACTTATTTCAATTGCGTTAAGAATTCATTGTTTCAGGCTACTTTTTAATTTTTCTGGCTTTTGGAACATCACTCAGAGTGTTGGGTTGTAGGCTTATATCCTCCAGGCTGGAAACTAGATTCCTCTCTAGAAAGCTTCACGGGAAGAGATCCAACGACATTTACCATTTGGGGGTCCCCAGTAAAACAGCAGGTGGCCTAATGAGGGGGTTTGGAAAGGGCCTCAGTTGCATTTGTAACCATGGTTTTTAATACGTGCTGGTGACTAAGTGACAATACAGAGAGGCTAATGCCGTGGAAAGAAGGTATTGCTTACGTTTCCAGAGCAGGGGGCTCGCCACGCTGCACAGGGCCGTAGAGGACACGCTCGGTGTCGGTTCAGAGGCAGACAAGCTGGCGCCTGGAGAGCCTAGGCCAGATTCTTCACTGGGATTTTCGTGGGAAGAG